ACTCAGGAAACTGAGATCTGAGGATTGTGGTTCAAAGCCAGCCCAGATAGGAAAGTCCATGAGTGTCTGATTTCTAATTAATCACCAAAAACAATGCCAGAAGTGGAGATGTGCTGCAAGTGGTAGAGTAATAGCTTTGAGCACATAAGCTTATGGGGAATGCCTAGGTCATGAGTTCGATTCCTAGGACAAGTGTGTGTGCTTGCGTGCAGATACACACACACACACACACACACACCAGCTTTTATGTATATCGGCAATGAACAGGACAAAAGAGATATTAGGAGAACAGTTTCCATCAAAATAACCTCACATGCAAATAAAATATTCTAATAAAATTAACTAGGGAGGATGATTGTGAAGTATCCTATACATACATGGACTTGTCAAAATGAAACCCCTTTGTGCCACTAACTGAAGTCAGTTTTAGCAAATGCGTAGGTAAGATGATGTAGCTTTGGGCAGAGGACTTGCCCTGGGTACAAGGCCCTGGGTTCCATCTTCAACATCCACATCCCTCCAAAATACATCTATGTTTCTGCCCTGATCCCAGGAATCAATATGAAGTGAGGGTGTGCATTTGAATACACAGAGATTCTCATTCTCTACTAGTCATAGTGTGTGTGTGTGTGTGTGTGTGTGTGTGTGTGTGTGTGTGTGTGTGGCCATTCCACACCTGGAGTCCAGGGACCCACACTTGCACTACTTACCCAGGGAGTGGCCACTCTGCAGGCAGGTGAACTGACCACACACAAGACCTCCTCCCCCTGAAGTGTGCACACATTTGGCTATTAGTGAGGAGTTGTCAAATCTGGCAAGTATGGCTTTGGGGAGCAGAGATGAGCTTGAAGCCTCCATCCTGATGACCCAGAGCACACAGCCTTCCCCGTGGAGAAGAGGGACAGTCACAGAACCACGGGTAAAGAGCTCCAGCCTGACAGTCGGGTGACGTAGAAGAGGGTGGCTTCCATGAGGAAGGTCTGGGGAGGCCTGCTGCTGGTGATGCACAGCTCACCGTTCACAGGGCCTTATCCACGTGTGATTATATCAGACTGCGGCTTGTCTGAGACGGTCTTGTGTGAGGTACCTCATGCGTGCAGAGTTGCTGGCCCTGGATTTAGTGGAGGCACCTAGGGTCTGCTGGGAGAGCTCTGATCTGAGGAACATTGTGAGAGGGGGGGGGGTCAGAATCCCAGCTCTAGAGAAGAGTGGGGTCTTCCCATGAGGGCTTCTTGGGTTCAGGGAGGTCAGAAAGTGACTGAAAGGACTCATTTTCTGGCCACCATGGTAGGGGCCAGTACAGGAGTGTGGGAGCTTAGAGTTCATTGCTGCAGGGACAGGGTTTGAGGCAAGGATGAGTGTGGCTAGCAGAGACAGACGGGAGGGAGTTTCAGGGGGGCAGGGAGCTCCCACACAGGGGGGAAGGTCGAAGGGAGTCAGGTAACACAGGGAAGAGGCACGGGTTACAGATGGGGAACACAGGAGGCAGGCAGGGGCAGGGCTAGCTCTGTATAACTGTTTAGTGCATGCACACTGCAAGAGGCCACTCGGGGGAGCTGCCCAGGAGACTGTGTCAAAACCCTGGCTCAGACCCATGGTTGCCAGAGACCTTGAAACACAAAGTAGCTGCAGCGCTTCCAGACCTGGGAGGTGAACGATGTCACAAAGGGTCACCAAGCACACCCCTC